CCCCTCCCCCTCTGGAAGTCACGACAAGGAACCAAACCCAGATCAGGACGCACCCACACTAAAATGGGGCACCCCCTTTCAAATCCGATGGCTAATCACAACCCCACTCCCCTTTTCACGCACAAAACACCTCCGGAACGCATGGAACGCCAACAAGATGGTCAAAGTCAGTCGGGACGGGACAGAGGTCGAGACGTGTATTGCTAAACGGTTTGTTGAGGAGTGGGAGGAGGAGGTGAAGGTGTCGAGGGTGGAGCGGAGGGGAGTGGAGGTGAGTTTATGTGCAGGGGTCGCGTTTTTTGAGGGGGTGTGGTGGGCTGAAATTGTGTATTACAGGCATGACCAACCGGCTACAACCACACCTACGTACCACCCTTTCTAAAACAAAACGAGATACAGGGTGGTGGTTTGAAATTTACCTCCCCCGCAGAGGGACTCTCTGCATCATCTCCAGGGGACGGACACTCACAAAAAAATCGTAAAGTTATCTTCGATAAGAGTCTATTATCAACAGGAAAATGGAGGGGTAGACTTTTTGTGTACGCCTATTAAGTGTAGTGCGTGGTGGTATTTGGACTTGGCGAACGCGTTTGTGGCTTGTTTACTGTAAATAAAACGGGATACCTATTTTTGCAAACGATTTTGCTTCAGGAGAATGCACGACTCCTTTTCCAAACTTTGAACGTTCGTTTAATGTCCGCAGACACAAACAACACGACACATAGTATGCCTAATGTGCAATCAACACTCCCTTCACCACCCCCTTCACACCGCTTAATACCAACAACAAGCACTTTAGCGCAGAGGAAGCGCGTTGGGCTCATACCAGAGTATTCCAAAATGCTTGGTTGGGAACCCAAAGGTCCCAGGATCGAAACCTGGAAGTGCTAGTGCTAGTGCGTAGTGTGCAAATGCCAGTGACCCAGATGGCTGGGCGCCATCTTTTTTTTCTTAGGGGGGATGTGCGGAAAACGCGAGGGACCAGCCACATCCGGGTGTGTCCAATGGACGCGTCGGTGGGTCAGAGGAGTCATAGTTTTCTCGAGGGGGGTTTCTTCTTTTGCCCTGGATGCGACCAGTTTCGTACGCGTGCAAATAACCAATGTAGCAAACAAAATCAAAAGGCAATTTTGTTAACTGGTGCTTGACGGAAAACTGATTGCAAGACAATTATCAAGATGTGGAAGGGACGGAAAAGTACTGTGACTGGGTGGACCCCAAAACAGCTTTGGGTTTTTGTGGCAGGCTGGCAAGGTGCTCGTTTCCAGAAGGTGGGACTTTGTACGCCGTTGTGTGTCCGGATACCCTGTCAAGGACGTCGGCATAGAATAGTCCCAATGCCTTCTTCATCATCATTATCGCACGGCCAGAGCAACAAGGGAATATAGCGGACGATTAATGCAAATTGATGGAAAAACACTCAAGCATAATCAAAGGACACCGGGAAAGTGCAACAAAAATCAATCTCTGCAATTTTTCCATAAGCTCGATTCCTCATTCCAAAGGACCAACGAGACATTTCCCAAGGCAGACCCTGATACCACCCTAATTTCAAACCCAATCTGTGCGGCCAGTCCCACCCATTCCCCACCATCGCTACATGTCGCTATTCTCGTTAACGGGACAAAGGAGAAGAAAGAAGAAGCAAGAGAGGAAAAGAATCGGAAGTACTCATCCCATTCTGGGTCCACCGTCGCCGGTAACAGACTGAATACTCTGCTGCAACTGCTGGAGCTGCTTGAGTCTGTTCAAGATGTCCACCACGGATTCTTGGCCTCCTGCATTTCCGGCGGATTGGGCGGATTGGGCGGATTGCGGCTGGGACGATTGCGGGAGGTTTGGCTGGGGTGCAGATCCAGGCATGGCAGGGAAACCGGGAGATCGGAAGGACATGGTCGCCGCACCAGATGTGGGTGTTTGTTGGGACGGGAACTGCGCGGACAGAATTGATCGGCTGCGTTGACCAGCACTGACGGGGGTAGACAATTGTTGTTGCTGTGGTTGCTGCATCTGTTGCTGCTGTTGAGTGAGCATGGACGTGAATAACATGTTCAGGTTCGGCTGTTGCTGGGCGGGAAATCCTGTCATTCCACCGAGTCCAAGCGCAGGATTTCCCAAACCCGTTAAGTGCGCAATGGCATTCAACCCTTGCTGCAGCGGTTGCTGCCCTGGAAGCTGGCCCGGAAGTTGTTGTTGCTGCTGCTGCTGCTGCTGTTGCAAGGCAGCAAGGGCCAGTAACGTATTCGCATCGAACTGAGCTCCTCCCGCTTGTGCCGTGACGAGGTTTCCAAGCATGCCTGCAATGCTTGCTTGCATATTCAGTGGCTGACCTAGCATAGTCTGCGTTTGAGGCAATTGGGGGGTGGTGCGATTGGCGCGATCTCGAATCAATAAGGCTGACGCGACTTCAACGGTGATGTTATCATATTCTGTGAAGTTAACGGTCGTTAACTTGCGGCAAATCATATTAATCATTCAATGAAGTTCGAAAGCATACCAGCAACCGCGCCGCCAGGTTGAAACACCTGCATTGACACCGTCTTTGCTCTTTCATGGCCGCGTTCCAGGAAAATGACGCCTCGAACTCCTTCCGCCATCATTTGATGCACGACCGACCGCAGGACCATTTTCGGGTTGAAGTACAAAGTATCTGTAGTTACACCAGAGCCTTTCATTTTTCCTTCGACAAACGATGTGTAATTTCTACAAGATCGAAGAAAGTGGGCAAATCTCAATGAAGTACATACAAAAATATAAAGTATATGCGAGATTTCCAGTACCTGTCAACCTCGCCCAGAATGATAATTTGGCATTCGGGAACATTGCTGCCGTAGCGCACAGGAAGAGGGAACTCTCCCGTTCCGGCGACTCCAGGGTGAATCGCGTTCGGCTGGGGCAAGACAGAGGGAGTTCCGGCCGCGGAAGGCGATGGCTTTTGCGGGGATGCTGCGCCAGCGCCCGAACCACTCCACCGCGAACGTGCACTTTTTGGCGACGCAGATCGTTTTCTAGACCCCGCATCCGAACCCCGACCGCCCCTGTTCCGTTCATCGCGACGCGATCCGTCATCACGACGATCTTCCCCGCGTCTACCATCGAATCTTCGACGTGGAGACCGCGAACGACTGCGAGAGCGCGTGCGAGACCGAGACCGACTAAGTGATCGAGACCGGGACCAACTGCGTGAGCGAGAACGGGTGCGAGAACGAGATCTGCTGAAGCGAGACCCGCGCCGGTTCAGTTCGCGAGACCCACGCCGGTCAGAGTCTCGTCTTCTGTCCACACCGCGCTGAACACCACGGTCCATGCCGCGATCAACACCACGGTCAACGCCGCGATCAACACCACGATCAGTCCTGCTCACGCCGCGATCGATGCTTCTGTGACGGTCCACGCCACGGTCAATTCCACGATCGACGCCCCTATCTACACCGCGGTCAGTCCTGGACACCCCTCTGTCAACTCCTCGGTCAACTCCGCGATCAACACCACGGTCGACTCCTCGGTCAATGCCGCGATCTACACCACGGTCAACAACACGATCAACGCCCCGGTCAACTCCCCGGTCAACTCCTCGGTCAACTCCTCGGTCAACTCCTCGGTCAACTCCCCGATTAACCCCGTGATCGGTATTACGCCCTGCGCCAGTGCGATTGTTACTACTGTCGCCACCGCCTTGATCAAAAGACTGGTTGCGTCCCAAACCTTTATCGCGTGATATTTTCAAATCTGGAGAAGTTTGAGTTTCACAAAAATGGGGTTAGTTCTGCACTGCTAAAAAATAAAAAAAAGACGGGAGAAAAAGATACATACCCCAATTCAATCCACCGACATTTCTTCCTTGTTCAGAATGCATAGCCCGCAGACAATTCTCCCTGCTGTCAAACTGGACAAATCCGTAGGAACCTTTCAACAGGATCTCTACAATGTTCCCGTATTGAGCAAAAATACGTGCAATTTCCCTCTTGTCAGTCCTCTCGGAGGCAAGATTGCCCATAAACAGTCGGGCACCAGGCGGCATGGCGCTAATGACATTGGGGTGGGACGAAAAGGCGACCCGGTTTGTTGGGTGAAACTCGTATGGGTCATTGTTGGATTCTTGCCGTTCAAATGAGGGAGGCGGCGCGGCGGGCCAATTGCGGGCTTGGGAGGAAGGAGGATTATTGTTCGCGTTTGGGCCATTTCCTACGTTCTTGGCATTGTTGCTGTTTCCATTTGGGACAGGTTGATTATTGAAGGATCCTCCACGGTTAAACGAAGGAGTTCGGGACGGTGGGCCTGGAACAAGTCCTGCGGATGACGTGCGGGATGGCGGACCAGGAATGATGGGTGCACCATTTACGGGTTGCAATTGGGCTGGCTGGCCGGGGACGGTGAGAGTATTTGCAGCACCAGGAAGAGGCGGCGGCGGCTGCATTGAAGGAGGTGCCATATTCCCGCTGGGAACACGGTTAAGGGATGGAGGCGCCACGTGCGCGGCTGTTTGATATGGTCCCATAACGCCAGGTGGATGGATGGATTCTGGCATTCCAGGTGGTCCTGAGGCATAAGAAGCGGGAGTCACTGTTGGACGAACAGGAATCACGGGACGGGGTGGTAACTGGTGGACTGGACGCGGGCGGTCTCCAGGACTTGGGATGGGAAGTTCTTTTGAAACTTGTGGACTGGGTGAGGGCGACGGATTCGCCTATCGAAAACAAGTATCAATGTAAGCCATCTAAATTATCCGGCCATAGGTGAAGCTACTAGCGTCACCGACCTTGACCTCTTCGACAGCATTCTGTTGTTGCTCTGGCTGCTTTTGCTCTTGCTTCTCCTGGCCCTGCTCCTGCAGATGATCGTCGCCCAACGGCAGTACAGTACCTCCATCAACTTCCTCCATCTCTTCTTCAAGAGCAGGCGACATGGTGGCCTCCCTGTCCTCATTTCTTTCATCTACAACCATTGGCTGGATATCCTCACCCCGCTCGTCGTCCTGATTCTGTTGTTCCTCGCATACTGGAACAGGATCACTTGATGCCTCGTTTTGTTCTTGCTTCTCTTGAATCATTCCTTCGCTTTGTTCCTCGCGACGACCCGCTTCGAAATCTCCAAATCCAGTCTCAACAGCTGGCGCACTTTGGCCCGCCCCGGTCCAAACCTGATCACGACAATTGTCCGCGCCCTCCTCTTGTGGATGTTGCTGCTCCTGCTCCTGTGGCTCGTGCACCACGGTTTCCAGCTGAGGCATAGGCTGGTACATTCCTGTTGCCCCCGCAGCTTTCAGGTTGACCAAAACTTGCGCAACAACGTCCTCGCCCAGTGCTGTGGAGGTGTCGGTACTGGCGCCGGCGTTCGTGGGTTGTTCCGGGTCGGTCATGTAGATGAGGGAAAGATGGAGAGAGTACGATAAACGGTTTCGGTAGAGGAGGAACGATTTTGAAGGGCAGAGTGGGTTTCCTTTTGAGAAGATGCGGTTGGATGTCGTCAGGCAAGCAGGCAGTCAAGGAGCAGCGGGGTTGCGACGGATATTGCAAAAAAAAGGGACGGATCGGGGACCCTTTTTTAATGAAATAGCAAAGGGAAATCCGGTGGTGCCTCACAGTCGTTCCTCGGTGTCTTTTTCAGGTTGGAAGACGTTCTTGCAGTGGAAAAGCAGGAATGGACGTTCACAAAGCCTCAAGGGAAGTAGGTAACTGGAAAAGTTGTGGAGTTGTAGGACGGACGAAAAGTGAGGACTGCAAACCCGGCAGACCAATCTCAGGGACGGGACAAAGGGGGTTTTTGTCAATGCACCTGTTCGAAGGGTGGGATTACGGTGCGCGCCCCTCTAGTCCAGACGCAAACGCCAAGTGCGTTGTAGGTTGCTTGAGAGATTGTTTTCTTTATTCTGATTCGCACGATTTTCCCA